GGAGGTGTCGGCTAAGCTGGGGAAGGAGGACTGTCTCAGGGCAAAGTCCTCCATGGTCAAAGGCCTGAGGGACTCCAGGGTGCTGCTACCCCTGGGCAAGGGGGGTCACCAGGCAGACGGCATTGTGGGGATGTGGATGCTGGGCCCTTCCCTGAGTCCCTGGCAGAGGAAGGGGGAAGGCTGGTTGCCCCTGCCTTCAGTGAACCACTCAGCCAGTGGATGTGGGCTGGCCACAGCCTAGTCTCAGCATCCTAGCTGAAACTCACTGGTGTGCCCCCTCCACAGATGGGAAAACTGAGACCTGGGCTTGTTAAGGAACAGTATCCAAGAGTTTGACCACCCAGATTTAACTAAAGTCTATCGGTACCCCCAGCAGTACTTAGGGGGAAGACACTGTCCATGGTTCTGAGCTACAAGCATTGAAGTTTTGCCCTGTGGGTTTATTTCTTCAACAAGTTGTATGAGGTTCCAAGACAGCGAAGGAGACGGTCAAAGGGGACATCCCTGTCTCTCAGGCTTTCTAGGCAAAGAGGGAGGAGACTATGCAAGCAAGAGGTATCACTGCTTAGAGTGTCACATGAGCAGGGCAAGTCAATGCTCTTCGGTCCCCAGTGTGGGAATACAAGATCAGCCCTAATTTGCATATGGGGCAACTGAGGCACGGAGCAAACAGCACTCAAGGCCGACAGAAGGCCACAGATGGGACCCAGGTTCCGCTGCTAGCCTCTGGGTTCTGCGCTGGGGTAAAGAGGAGGGGAGGAGGGAAGGCCTGACCTTGATCACAGAAGGACCAGACGCACAGACGCCTGGAGACCTGACGGCATTTCACAGCCACGGGGCCCGGGGCAGAATTCTGTTGGGAAACTCTAGGAGATAACACAGGGACAGCACTCACAATGTACCTACTGTGCATCGGGCTCTGAGCGAAGCACCCTTCACTCCTTCCTTCCTTCCTTTATTATGTGTGATGTTTGCCTGTGTGTGTGCGCGCGGGCACACTCACCTGTGTGCATACATGTGGAAGCCAGGTCAACTTCAGGTGTCTCTTCCCCTATCATTCCCCACCACATACTTTTGAGACAGGGTCTCTTACTGAAGCCGGAGCTTGCTGTTTCAGTTAGACTGGTGGGGCCAGTGTGCATCTGAGGTCTGCCTGCCTCCACCTCCCGCTCCAGCAGTAGGGTGACAGGCACACACTGCCACACTCGGATCGGGGATTTGAACTTGGGTCTTCATGCTTGTGTGGCAAGCACCTTGCCCACTGAGCCATCTCCCCGCCCCATGGGTGAAGCGCTTCCGAGGCATTTTCTCAGCACTGTCAACCACCTATTTAGCTCACAGCAGAAGAATGGCCACCCCGGAAGCATCAAAGAGACTTGGTCCTGGGTGGACATAGAGGGAGCCGTGGAAGGCTTAGGAGGGCTCACCTGGAATGCCGCCCAGGCCAGGCCTTCCCCGTGGCAGCAGCAGGGGTGAACTTCTGGGAACCCACCAGCCCGAGCTGAGGTGTGCCTGCCCTCCCAAGCCATGCGTCTTTCCCTGAACCGAGTACTACAAGCCCCCACATCTTTCCTCAGGCTGCACCCAGCACCCGGAGAGGTCTATGTGAGGAAGGGTTTTTCCTGCCCTGGGGACTGTGTTCTGCATTGACAACAGAATGGGAGAGAGGGAAGACCGAGGCTTTGAGGGTGGAGAGCTCTGGGGCCACTCCTGGCCCTGGCTCCTGTGGATCTCATCCTCTGAACAAATCCCGTTGGTCAGCTGTGCCCCAACCTGCTCCTCTGTATAATGGGAGCAAGAAGCCACACTGCTCCGAGCCCGTGTAAGGACTGAAGAGGCTGTTTGGAGTCACTGGGGGTGATGAACACCCTATTTTTCTTCCTTCCATACAGGCCCAGATGAAGGTCCTGCCCTCCACAGCCTTCTGCTGTCCACATGAAGAAGCGGGGACTCGAGCATGGGCAGGCAGCACTGGGCACAGGTGGGCAGTGGGCTGAGCCCCCTCTCTGAGAGCGCTGCATGTCCTGTACCTCACCCAGGGGTCTGTCCAGCTCACCAGGCGCCGCCCAAGGTCTGCTACTCCAGGATGCTGAGGTGAGAAGATGCTGACCCTGACCAGCTAACTGCTGAGACACAGCAGGGAGAAGAATGGCAGTCACACACTGGTCTGCATCTGAGGACAGTGACGTCATCATCTTGGAATGGGAACAGAACAACAATTACAGCCCTTTATCCCAATTCCTTTCTTTCAAAAGGAAGGGAGAAACTGTAGTCTAGTTAAGGCTCAAGTTCTGAAGCAGTGTGGGGTCAAATCCAGCCTCCACCAATGCTGAGTGGCCCTGGGAAAGAACTTACAACTTTGGGCCTCAGTCTTCCCATCTCTAAAATGGGCATGTAGCAACCAGCGATACTAACCTCAAACTGTTGTGAGAGTGTCTGATTAACATGAGGCAATCCACCAGAAAATATTAAGCTATCAGGTTTGATTTGAGGAAGGAAGAAGCTTAAAAGTAATTCAATTCATTGTTCCCACGTGCAAATGAGCTAAGGATATAAGCATGGTGTGGGCTACAACCGCTGTCTTCTTACTATTTACAGAAGGAGGGGAAACTGAGGCTGGCAAATTTCCTTGGGAGGAAAATATTATTTCCTTCTTGTTTAAGAAAAGAACCTAAAGAGCCAGGGCTGAAGTAGCAATATAACATCTATGGCTAAAACCAAGATGGGAGTGTGTGTGTGTGTGTGTGTGTGTGTGTGTGTGTGTGTGTGTGTGTGTGGTCCATTCGTGCAGAGCCAGAGTTCGGGGAAATGTCAGATTCTTGGAGAAGGAGATTTTAATTAGGTTAGAGTTGCCTCCAAAAAGTACTAAAATTAAATATGAATCCATAATGCATGGCATCATAGCTAATGGTATGCAAATGGGGCCGGGCCTGGCCAGCTGCAGCAGGAACTTAGGCTATCGAGGTAATTGGGAAAAATGTCCCTTGGCCCAAAGCCACAGTCCTGAGGATGTTGCGGGAGAGAGCAGGGCACGGGTGTTGGGCCTGGTGGGGCAGCTAATGTCCCTTTAATGGGAGGAGGGTGGCTAATGTGGGGACTGCAGTGGAGGGGAAGAGTCACCCTACCGAGGCAAGGGCTGGAGACGGGACCAGGCCAGCTCTGCTGCAGATACCAGCTGTCTGCGGAGGCTTGGGCTTCCCCTGCAGCCCGGGGCTTTGACATGGCAGATAGATGTGGTGCAGGAGGAAGACACCCACAGCTGGCAGCCCGTCTTGCCTAGTTCACTGGCCATCTGTGTAACTTAGAATGAGTCCCCCAAGAAAGCTAAGCTCCACCCTTCCGTCTCCCAATGTTATCTGGGGTCAGACTGGGCTAGAAATATATTTAGAGCTGTAAAAACGGACAATTACTGTTTTCATTTTAGTGGGAGAATAAACGAAGCTGAGTGTAGTGACAGACGCCTGGAATCCCAGCGTGCTGGAGGCTGAGGTAGGGGGGATGGTCGAGAGTTCAAGGTGAGCCCAGCTACATGGTAAGACTCTGTGTATAATAAATAAATAAAAAGTAAATAAGTAAATATATAAAAGCAGACAGTGCGTACTTTCCATACACTTCTATCTGCTTGGATCGTAGCCCCTGGACCCTTGCTATAGCCCTAGGGAAACAGACAGAGTCACGAAATGAGGGGTTCAGAATTTCAATCCAGTGGTTTTGATTCAAGAACCTATTCTCTTAACAGCTATGCCACAGCGGGGTAAAGATGATGCTGGCTGGCACGGTGGCACACATCTGTAACAAAGAAAAAGATGTCCGGGAGCGGAGGGGGCTCTATTCACACCTCCCCGGGGCACCAGGGCAAACGGTCTGCCACTCACTCAGATGTGCCCACTGCATCGTGAGCCCCTGAAGCGACTGTACATTCTCAGTCTCCCTGGGAGTCAGTTTGCAGACGTACCACGTTCAAGCTGTTGACTCAGCCTCCTCCAGCCCCTTTCCAACTCCGAAGAGCTATGACAGGCCCAGCAGCACGCAGAAGAAATTGTGAGCAGAGGTCAAGGCAGGCCTGTGAAATCTGAGCCATCCACCTGGCCTCAGAGAGCCTCGGTTTTCCCATGTGCAGATCAGGGAGCCCCACAGCACTTCCGTGTAGCAGTATAAAGGTTCCATGAGCAGGAGCTGGCTTCTGTGCATCAGCTATAGGTGACAGACTGGTCTGTGAACTGTGTGCATTTGTTCATTTGGTCCTAACTGGCCAACGCAGCTCCCATGGGGCTCCCCACTCTGGGATCTCACTCTGCCCCTCCCCCAACACACACACAGACTGTAGCCTCACTCATGGATGGATGAACTGGTAAGGTTAAGAACTTGAGGAAGGTTGTGAGCCAGGCTGTGAACCAGGGTTTTAACCACCAGGCTCTGTGGCCCCCTCCAACCCACAGGGTTTCCGGCCTTGTATGCACACCGTGAAGGCTGTTGTGTCCAAGGAGTAGAAAGTTCACCTCGGGTATCAAATTCAGCAAGATGCACAAAAAGTTCCAGCAAGGTTGAGGGGCTCAAAAGATGTGATACGAATCAATGAATGAGGAGGTGACTTTAGATGCGGTCCATGAGTCCATTCTGACTCCTGGCTCTTCCAGTGACATGGTACCTACTGAGCCCAGGAGGACACGGGTCTCACAATGCCAAGACACAGCAGTGGCAGTATCCAGTGTCCCAGAAAGCAAAAAATAAAAATAAAAAGCAGTTCTTTGGGGGCCTGACAGGTGGATCAACTCTCATGTCATCAAGCCTCCATGCTCTAGGTCAGAGAGTCTCCCTACCTGTTACCCCCCCAAACCATCAGAGTCCTGTCTGAGTAAGTGCTGGCCCAGACGGCAGTCCCTGGGAGTGACACCCAGAAAAGAAAATATGGGTCTGGAAACAGCCACAAGGTTTTTGAGATGGAAAAGCGTTACAGGCCCTTCCTTGGCGAGGGAATGAGTGCCAGGGGCCTTTGCCTATTGAGTTTTCATCAAAGTAATTTATTGATCAATACAGAGAACATGGCTAGTTCAGCGATTTTGTAAAAAATCACCATGTGTTGAATACGAGGAGCACTTTGCTGGATTGTGGCATTCGGGGCCCAGCAGGATCACCCGTGTTTTATGGCCTTCTGGGAACTGGGCCCTGGCAGTTACATCTCTGTGGCTTTATCTTCATGACACCAAAACATTTGGACGAAGGAAACAGATGGGTCAATCTTCCAGATGTGTTGTCTACCTGGTAACAAATATCAAGACGTTTCCCAAACAAGGTCACGAGAGCAAACCCAGAGCCCGTGGAGGCCGGGAAGATGAGTGGGTGGAGGAAAATAAGCTGCTCCATCCCCACTCCCCAAGGCCGAGGCCAGAGCGGAAGAGGGGTACATGGACTAAGCACCTTTTCGCCAAGCCCTCCCCCCCCCCCCCCCCCCCCGTGACACTTTGACACCTGGAGACTTTTGTGCATTTTCAGATGAGGCTGGCTTTGTGTTCCCAGAGGGACAAGGCAATCACAAGTGAAGGGACGGTCCCCACACGGAGGGTTCTCCTGACACAGCTTTGACTTGATCTCATAGGACCTCAGTTTCCTCGTGTGCCAATTCGGGGGACACACTGGAAAGTGGGGAAACGCTGCCAGTGTGTCACAAACGCTCAGCAGACATGGGTGGTTCCGGCAGATACGGCTGGCTTCAGTACAGCTCTTCTGTTGGCTTGCTTGGGTGGAGTGTTGGTCTGGAGCCTGGACTGGGCCAATAAGGGTGGGTAGTTCTGTCACCATGGGTGAAAGACAAAGGAAAGGCCCCAGTTCCCTGGGGACAGTGTGCTACAGTAGAAACCCCAGGGGGCACCCCCACCTGGGTGGGCTCCTTTCCTCTCCAACCTTAGAGGGGACCAAGGAAAGGGCTTGGTGACTCCTGCCACAGTGGCTGCTGAGGCAGCAGGAAGGGGCGGGCCCCAGGGAAGTCATCTGGGAGGTGGAGGCCATATAGATTGACTGCCTCCTGGGTGGGTAAGTGACCCCAGCATGACTCCCAGACACTGGGAACAATGAGAGGCACTGAGATGACCTTCCCAGAAGTTGAGCCTCCACTGATCTCATAGGCCACTGTCACTTCCCTGGAGTCAAGACCCCTCCCTTCCTATGGTGGGTTGTGGGGTCCTAGCACAGACCAAGAACACAGGGCTTAGGCAGCATGCAGAAGGGACTCTCCTAGGTGGCATCAGGACCAGGATGCTTATTCCACATCTCTGACGTGACATCCACTACCGTCAGCCAAGGACACACTATCCCCAGAGTGGGACTTGTTTCTAGGCCAGCAAGGCCAGATGTCTAGAATCCCAGACTGGAACAGTTGGAGGCTCAGGATCCCCAAGTTTAGATACGGGGGATAATCCGCACATCCAACATGTATCCCAGCAGGCAGAAAAGCTAAGCCAGCCCTGAACGCCAAGAAAACGAGAGGCCCTATTTGATCCAGAACTTAATCCACTTGCACAGAGCTGGGCAGGGAAAACACTGCCCAAGCTTCCCCATGCCACCTGCTCCAAAGGGCCAGCGGGATGATATAATGGCAGGACCGGGCACATCCACAGATGCTTGCACGTGGAAAGCCTTTCCAGCAGTCACCTTCTGACAATGTCCACAGAGCACTCTTGACAACAGACGACTGCTACTCCTGTTACAGAGAATCCACTGGGTCATGTGAGGTCCCCAGCAGCCTTCCTCTGCCTGCTTGGAACAAGGGACCATCTGCCTTCTAGCCACAGTTCTCCTCAACTCCTGTCCAAGCAGAAGGCTGTGCTTTGCAAAACTACTCTACAGTCCAGAAGGAGATGGGAAAGGGTGCGTGCACAGCCTATTATCTGGGCCCAATTAGTGGCCAAGACCGTGTTAGAGTGATGAGCCTGCGGCCACCTCGAAGACTAAGGAGAGGGAACAAGGACAGAGGTTGTTAAAATGCTCCTGCCGAGTCTGACACCTGCACTATGTCCTCCTGCCTCAAAGACACGGTAGTGCTTGGGGGGACTCAGCATATCTCCACCCAGCATGTGTTCACTTAAGGAACCACCACCATAAAGGCACAACACTTCCCAATGAAGGGAGGTAGAGCTGGGATCATCAGACACATGCCGCTTGCTTCCTACCTCAGGGAGGGGGCAGGTCCTATCTGGTCGATCTCCCTTGTGACTGCCACTCAACCTGACTTACTAGTACTTATTAATCACTCATTGGGAACCGACCTGGAGCAGCCATTGGGAACAAACAAAGGGGTAACACTGCATCCAGGAAGACCAGGAACCGTTGCTGTAGGATGGTCTGTATGGCAAATGTGTTGCTGATTGGTCAATAAATAAAATACTGATTGGCCATTGGCTAGGCAGGAAGTGTAGGCGGGACAAGGAGGAGAATAAAGCTGGGAAGTGGAAGGCTGAGTCAGAGAGACACTGCCAGCCGCCACGATGACAAACAGCATGTGAAGATGCCGGTAAGCCATGAGCCATGTGGCAAGGTATAGATTAATGGAAATGGATTAATTTAAGCTGTAAGAAAAGTTAGCAAGAAGCCTGCCACGGCCATACAGTTTGTAACCAATATAAGTCTCTGTGTTTACTTGGTCGGGTCTGAGCGACTGTGGGACTGGCAGGTGAGAGAGATTTGTCCTGACTGTGGGCCAGCCAGGAAAACTCAAGCTACAAATCATATCTTGGGGACATCCAGCCTGGGCATCTTACTGGCTTTCTTTATCTGAGGCTCCTGTTCCTACAGGAACAATTCCACTCACCCGAGGGGACCATGAGGGTTACAGGAGATTGGAAAAGCTGGGGGGCTCCCTAGCTGTGAAAATGACAACAGACTGAGACCAAGTTCCTCCCCACCTTAGAGAAGTCCCTGTCCATATGGGAGGTCAGGAGTCAGTCAAACCGAAGCAGGTAAGGCCAGAGATGGCAGGTAGGAGACCAGTACTACTTCTGTCCTTTGTTTCCTCCTGGAAATAAAAACAGAGGTCCACACAACATTCCTTTTCTCTCTGAACTTGACTCAAAGCCAGTTTGGAGCAAGACAGGGGACATCCTGTCACAAGGGATAAACAGAAAGCAGGGTGGGGGCTGTGATTCTGGAGAGGTTGAAGAAAAAAGATGGACACCCAAGCTGTGTAGACAAGTCCCAATGTCTGAATGTCGGCTGACTCAGAAAACAAACATACAAACAAATGAACAAAACCCCAATGCAACCTAAAGTTGAATCAATGAAAGGGGAACAGATAAAAAATTAGGTCCACACGGAGAATTGTTTGCATGACCCGGCAAACAGTGGGTGTGTTGCTTTGTTTTAATAAAAATATCATTTTAAAAAGCCTAAAAGGAAGGGCTAGAGAGATGGCTCCTCTTCCAAGGGACCAGGGTTCAATTCCCAGCACACACATGGCAGCTCACAACTGTCTGTAACTCCAGTTCCAGGGGATCTGACACCTTCACACCATCGCACATAAAATGAAGTTAAAAAAAAAAAAAAACAAACTAGACCTCCAAAAACCAAATAAAGAAAGCTACATCTCTTCAACATATGAGTCTAACTCAAAAAAGCCTAAAAGGATAACAGTCTGAGGCAAGCATGAGGCCCACAAGCCTTTGAGTCCCGATATCCAGGATGTGCAGCAAGACCAATGGGACTGGGCGCCCCAGGGAAGGCTGGGGGAAGGCTCCAGACAGGCTAAGGGTTACGGGTGAGATGCACATCTCTGAGGGTTTCCCAGAGCAGGTGCTAGGGCTTCTGCTCGGCATGAAGTCTGAGAAAAAAGTGGTTCAACAGGAGGAAGAGGATGGCATTGCAAGTGGGGGCATCCACAAGGCACAGTACCAGAGCTGGAACCTCTGCGCTGGAGCCAAGCTTCCCCCATCGAAGTGAAGTGGTTCCTGGGAGATCTTAGCAACCTGTGGCTGGGGGTGGGGTGGGGGGGTGAGGCGACTGCAGCGAAATCTCAAAGGAGCAGGATCCTGCAACATCTGCCCTCCCAGGGTCAGCTCCTGTAACTGAGAAAGGGGCCAGGCTGGACCAGGAGAGAGGGATGAGCAGGAAGAATGAAAGCAGGAACCACTAGGGCACTGGGGGAGTCAAGAAGAGCTCTTTCTCTAGCTGGTGCTGAACTGGCCCATTCAGCCAGCTTCCTGCCAAGGAAAACACACACACACACACACACACACACACACACACACACACACACACACACACACACACACTCACTCACGCACGCACACACACACTGAGCACCCCTGACAAGCAGGGCATAGCAGGGCAGTGAATCTCCACATCTATTATTGGATATAACAATAGCAACAATGTATCAGAACACGGCACTGTGTCTCCACCCGTGTAATATAGACAGCCACGATTTCTTGTTAGAAGCTAAAAACAACATTGAAACAAACAAATAAATAAAAGTACTTTGCCTCAAAAGTAACCAAGCTTCTGCCCCAGTGGTGATAAAGAATACAATGTCCATGCGCGCTGAATGAACTGAGTCCTCTCTACATGAGTTAGCCTGCGTCCACATGCTCCTCATGGAGGCAGAGATGCATCCTGCCTCTTAGAGGTGCTGCATGCATGACATAATTCTGGAACACTCTTAGCCCAGTGCCTGGCATGTGCTAAGTCCACAATGGCTTGCCGCTGTCAATGGGTCGCTGTTATCAATGGGTCACTGCTGTCTGTCAACAGATCACGGTTGTCTGGATTCATCAAGTGGCACTGTATTCACAGAGAGGGTTGGAAATTAAAAGTGGAAGGGAAGAAAGCCCAACACAGTCAGATCTCATGGAGCTGATGCTCCTGCCCCAGCATCCTTGGTACTGCCCTACACTTGCCTTGTGGACTGTTCTCTCCCTCCTCCACTCCATCTGCTAAAGAGAACATTGGTCCACGCTCAGCACACAGAAGGGTTCCAGACCCCAAGAAGACGGTAAGGGCAAAGACCCTGCCACTTTCTTTTTCAGACCTTCCTGCCAGGTCATTGGGAGGCCCTGGGATCCACTGCAGGTCCAGATGGTGGCCAGACACATCAGGCCCTGTGTGATACCCAGATGAGGCTGTGAGATGGGTAGTCTGCCATCTGAGCAGGGCTTGCTCCTTGGGCAGCCATGGACAGAACTTAAAGTAGATCTTCAGTTCAGAGGAGAGACCTGTGAATAGGGCTGAAGGCCTAGCTGCACCCGATGACATCCATGCTGCACAACGTATTGAAGAGGCCTAGAGACCTGGACATAGAGCTCTTAGGAGGTCCAGGCCCCTCATATATACCCAGCCTGCATCCACTGCTTAGGCCCAGAGCAAAGGGACAGTCAGGCCTATGGGGAGAACTCAAAACAGTGACTCAGGATGCTAGCTCTCTAAAACAGCCCTCCAGCCACCCACAAAGGCATTTCGTTTCTCACCTAGACCTCTGAAACAGCATCCAATAGGCCTCCAGCTTCCACTGAAGTTATGTCCCTCAGCCACCAGGATGACTTCTTAGAGGTGTCGATTTGGTTCTGTTCCTCTCCCTCACAAAGTCCTCAGTAGCTCACAGTGTCCTCAGGATCTGGCCCAGCCTCATCACTGTCACTCAAACATCCTTCAGGAGGGTCACATGGACCACTTGCCATCACTATCACTCAAACATCCTTCAGGAGGGTCACATGGACCACTTGTCCATCACTGTCACTCAAACATCCTTCAGGAGGGTCACATGGACCACTTGTCCATCACTGTCACTCAAACATCCTTCAGGAGGGTCACATGGACCACTTGTCCATCACTGTCACTCAAACATCCTTCAGGAGGGTCACATGGACCACTTGTCCATCACTGTCACTCAAACATCCTTCAGGAGGGTCATCTGGACCACTTGTCCATCACTGTCACTCAAACATCCTTCAGGAGGGTCACATGGACCACTTGTCCATCACTGTCACTCAAACATCCTTCAGGAGGGTCACATGGACCACTTGTCCATGAGTGTTGCTGACACTTGGACTTCCTCGAGGTCTTCAACACTAATTTGCAATGTGAAACTGCTAGTATTTGATTGTGCTTGCCTACAAACCTGGGCGTCTCACACAGTCCAGCTTACACCACTACCGGTCCCTTGGGCATTTGGGCACATTACATCTGCTGAGAGCTCTTCCCCACTCCTCCCTCTTCTCCTTCACCTTGCTGCTTTGAAGTCACATGGCACTTTCTTAAGCGCGAACTTTCCTCCTGGAACCTGCTTTGATATCTGCCTTTGCTGCCAGATTGTGAGCTTCTGAAGGACAAGGATTCTGCCTGCCTTGCTCACCTTGACATCCGGCATTAGACTGACCCACAATGAATACGCAGTGAAACCACCTGTGGTCAGCCACCATCCTGTGAATGAAGCTCCGACGCTGCCGGTTTGCTGCCGGACCTCAGGCCTTCTGTTTCCGATGTCAGTCTCCACTCCTGCGGAAGGAACCTCCATACATCAGAGACGGGAACCAAGCAAGCTGCCGCTTGCTGTGGCTTCCAGCAGGCTACAGCAACCGGTTTCCTCGCTGACCCGTGCGTGTGTGGCATCACCACAAGATGAGCCATGGAGGCAATGGAGTCTGAGCTCTGAGTGTTCTCGGCAAACATCGCCTTGAGTTTGGCCTCCATGGGGTGAGCAGAAGATGGAGCTGGCATAGCCTTGGCCTTTTCAGGAACTCAGAAAACCTGGATGTCCTCAGCAGCCTTAGGCATACAGCTGGGCAGACTGAGAATTTCACAGGGAGAGAACCCGGGCTCCTCTGTGACGTCAGCGGCCAAGCTGTGAGTGTCTCCATTACAGAAAGCCCACTACCCCCATGAGACCGTTTACTGAATCTTCAAATAGCACGAAAGATAAAGTGGCTGGTACTGGCCAGCACTCACTGGTCTCAACCCTGCAGGGACCGCTCAGGCCAGCTTTGCCTCCCTCTTGCTATAGACCTCAGAGACTTTTTAAAATTACATTCTCATTTCTATATTGGTGGGGGGGGGCGCACGCACACGTGGAGGTCAGAAGACGGTATGTGGGAGTTCTCTCCTACCACCACGTGGGTCCTGGGGATTGAACTCAGGTAGACTGGCTGAGCCATCTCACCAGCCTGAACCTAGAGGTTTATAGACAGTCACTATTGGCTTCAGGTCTTCAAGTTCCTGCCCTTTTCCTATGTGTCCCTCTGTGTGGGTGTGTGTGTGTGTGTGTGTGTGTGTGTGTGTGTGTGTGTGTTCATTGATGTGTGCGAAGCTGGACACTCACATATGCATGTGCAGGTGTACATGCACAGATGCATGTACATGGAACATCAGAGAACAATGATCTCAGGTGTCATCCTGAGGAAAGGCATCCACCTCCTTTGAGACAATTTATCTCCAGGGTCTCTCACTCTCCTGGAACTCTGTAAGTAAAATAGGCTGGCTAGCCAGTGGGCCAGTGACTCTCCCGTCTCCATTTTCTCAGCACTGGGATTACCAGTGTGCACCACCACACCTGGCATTTTTATATGGGTTCTGGGAATCAAGCTCAGGCCCTCATGCTTGCCAGGCAAGCGTTTTACCAGCTGAGGCATCTCTTTCCTCGGGTACTCAGTCTCCAAATCTGTGTAATGGGGACAGTGTGCACTGCACCCACTCCCCTGGGGTGGCAGAGATTGATGAGAAGAAAGCACTACCTGTTATCTGGAAGAGGAGTCTACAGGAGGCTTAGGCCTTCCTCCCAAGGCTCTCTGTCCAGTCTCAGCAGCAAAGCAGCTCACAGGGAAACCTGCCCTTTGCCTGATGAGCCAGGCTGTTAGACCGTCGGCCCTCCCCAGCCCCAGGGAGATTGATGCCCGAACTGACGGATCACTCCAATGTATTAGGTAGATAAAGAAATTGATTATTCCATAAATCATTGTCTCCATGAAAAAAGGCCCAATTTTTTAAAAAAGAAAATATTATAAATCTGTCCAAAGCCCTGTGAGGGAAAGTGTGTAGCCATTTCAATTTAATTGTCTGAGAGCTTCTTTGCTGTAACTCCAGAAAGAAGAGCCCTGAAAATGAATGCATTTCGAGCCAGAGGTTCCTATGCCCTCAGGAAAGGCCAGGTCATGCCCTGGACCAGAGAGCTTTACCCTGCAACAGGAAGAATCTGGATTAGCTAGAAATAATGGAGAATCACATCCCTGAGACAGTCAAAAGGTGGATGGTGGGGGCTGAGGAGATGGGCTCAGTGGGTAAAGTGTCTGTTTCACAAGCACGAAGACCTGAGTTCAGAAGCCCAGCATCTATGTAAAATGGCTGTGAAGATCTGTAACTCCAGTGCTGGAGGGTGGAGACAAGCAAACCCCAGGGTCTTGCTGGCTGGCCAGTCTGGCCAAAATGGTGCACTCCAGGTTCAGTGAGGGACACGATCTCAAAAACTAAGGTGGAGAAGTAATTGAAGGAGACATCCAAGCACTCTTGCATGGGTTAGCCCAAGCTGCACACGCTCAAGTACAACACACACACACACACACACACACACACACACACACACACACACACACAAATGTTAATCTCTTCCCATCTAGAAAAGTTAGAAGGATTTCTGTCTAAGTGTAGGGCCACAATAAATCCTGGAGGGAAAGGTGGGGCCTGATAGTTTCTGGCAGAAAACAAACTGAAAACAATGATCGGGAAGAGGTAAGGGAAGCTAGGAAGGTAGAAGCAAAGGGTGCTGAAAAAGATGGGCTTTCCCCCGCATGCAGCTCAGCTCTGAGCCTCTCTGAGCTTGCTACTCTTCCCCAGGATACAGGAAAACAAGGAAGCTCCAAGCACAGGGCTGTACACACCTCAGTGTGAGGGACCTTGGTGTTATCACTGCCTGGATCTATCAGGGAGGGCCCTGAGATGCTCCCTAGCTCAGGATGCAGCTGCACCCCACCCCTGCAGTTCCCTGTCCTGTGTACTCGGCGACACAGAGTGGGCGCTCCAATAATGTTTGGTGAATCACTGAGTCAGCCCAGAATCCGTGTGAAAAAGACAGGAAATAAACACAAAATTACAAACAGCATAAAAATAGCCACATTTCTAAAGCAGCTTTCCCCCCCTTCTTCTGCTTTCTTAAGGGAAGCAACAACAACCAAAAAATCCCCAATCCCTTGATGCTGACATTTCTCAAGCCAAGGCCCCCAAAGCAGCTCTAATTGCAGCTGCCACAGCCCACTCTCCCGCTGCACGTTCTAGGTCTTTCTAATGCTGTAAGCCTCTGGGGCCATCTTTCCTCTGAAGTCCAAAGAGTCCAAATGGCACTTCCTCTGCTGTTCTGACCTGTGTGGCCTTCTATGTCTCTTTGGGTTTTGATGCAAGTGCTCCCAGCCCATTCTCAGCCCCCTAGTGATGGACAAAAGCTCCCCCATCCTCCGAGACATGCGACCCTCTCTCATGGCTGGATCTTCCTGTCTAGGAGCCGCCTCTGTCACACCCACCCCCGTCACCAGGCTTCTCTGACACATCCAGGTGACGATGCACCTGGAGCTGGGGCTCTTTGAGGGAACACCGCGAAGCTGTGACACACTGGTTTCCCATCACCTGAATGAATAGTAATTTTATTTATTAGCAGTAAATAAGGTTCTATTACAGGTGTGCAGGGCTCCACAGCTCAGGAAACAATAACACAGAAAACACGTTTAAGAAATCACATTTAGCAGGATAAAACGACATTACAGAAGCCCACTTACCAAATGCAATGTGAAAGATGACGCCGGCAGGCCAGGCGGCGGCTCGTGGTTATCAGGTGTGCTATCTGACAGGCGGATGCTCATGCATTTTGTCATCTGCTACCGCTCCCTAGCAGACAAGCCGTACACGGCACCGAAGATTTAAGAACCGTTTACGTGGAAGGGGAAAAAAGGAGAAATTCTACCCAGAGGCTTCACCTCCCTTTGACCATGTGTGACTTAACACAATTCCTGGTGTTTCCTCTCCAGCTGTGGGCTTCTTGGAGCCCGCTGTCCTGTATGTGACTACCAGAGCCTTAGGGGACCTGCGCTGGAAGGCAGACTACCTGTTTAAGTGTGCCCGTAGCCACACCAGGACTAGAGAGAAGAGCCATGGAGCAATCCAGCGCTAAGCATCCTAGCCCAGAAACTGGCTGCTCTCCGTGGTGCTGAAGGCAGCGGCGGCTCCAGGGCAGCCTTCCATCCCCCTGCCTCTGAGTAAGTCTAGCAGGACTATTAACTGGGAGCTTTTATAAACACATACAAAGCCAATCTGTATTCTCCCTCTGTGGAAAGATATTTCAGAGGTGTTTTTTCCTCCCACACTGGAAAACTCTAGTCTGTGTAGATCTCTAAAGACTACAGGTCTAGTCGAGCATAGCGGCTTGTACTAGTAGCCAGAGCTACTCAGGTCGTTGGTGCAGGGGTATCACCTGAACTCAAGAGCTCAAGGCCAGCCTGGGCAACAAAGTGAGATCCTGTCTCGACTAATAAATAAACCTATGAAGTTAAAGCTTCAAAGTGGTGTGTCTGTCTGTCTGTCTGTCTGTCTGTGTGCGTGCTAAGAGGCCAGGACCAGGAGTCCATGCTTTAGCCCCACTTCAGCCCCACTTTTCCCCCACAGCTCACCAAGAAGCATAAACCAGTCATTTTTCTTGTCCAGTGACAAATGAGAGTGATCCCAACATGGGCCATGTGATCCCAACACTGGCCACATGGTCTCAACACTGGCCATGTGGTCCCAACACTGGTCATGTGGTCCCAACACTGGCCATGTGGTCCCAAAACTGGTCATGTGGTCCCAACACTGGCCATGTGGTCCCAACACTGGCCATGTGGTACTAACACTGGTCATGTGGTCCCCAACACTGGCCATGTGGTCTCAACACTGGCCATGTGGTCCCCAACACTGGCCATTCCCCCACTGGTGCTCTGGTTCTTCCATGGACTCTGACAACATTGAACACTATGACCTGGTCCCTTCCCACAAGAAAAGAGACTTCCAGGATTCAGGAGAAATACCCAGGCTCTACTTCTCTTACAAGAAGTCAGGGACTCAATCTTTCTGTTAAAGTCTCCCCCAAGCCTCACTCCCCAGGGATCAGCTGTAATTCAGTTTAACCTGAGAGTTCCCCCATATTTTATTTACTGATTGGATGTTACGAGACAAGTAAAATAGATGGCTGTCACCTCTATTAAACTGGAGGAAAAGTGGCCTTGTCAGCAACAGGCTCCTGCTGCTCAGGAAGTGTCACCTATTTCCCTACGGAAGGACATGAGAGAATTGGAGTGCCTGGCTTCAGTAGGCGGTTGCCTCCCTCTGCTATATCCACAGGGGTGTGGGAAGGGCTACATCATGATCTCATATCACTCTCAGCTATACCACAGTGGTGGACAGGTCATCCAGACACTCAGGAAGTGAGACCATCACCAATGTCCTCAGTTTCCCCAGCGATCCAAAAGGGAAGACTGCTGTCACTCACTGGGCTTCGGACAAAGAACAGCTACAAAGCCCCAACTTGGTAATCTAGCTCTATAGAAGCACCCCCCCCCCATCGTGGGACATCTCTGGCATGTAGATAGCACACGAGTACCCAGTGGGGATGCGCAGACCTCCATGTTACACCTCAGCTGTCCTGTCAATCTACGTCTACACATCCTAGCAGACTCCCGACAGGTGGCAAAGAGAAGAAGAAGGGGTAGCCTATCTATGACTGACAGAGTTGCAAGCAGCCCAAGCACAGCTCTGCCTGACAGTCGTCCTGATTAACCAGCCTATTAAGGACCAGATGGCACGAGTTCATATCCTTGGACCAATCTCCAAGGGAGCATCAAAGATGCTGAAGAACAAGTGAAAAGGGGAGGGGTCACGACTGCATTCTCAGTCTCTTCAGGGAGCGGACAGCTGTGTCTCTCTCAAGAGGAGAGCTATCATGATATGGAGCAGACAAAGAACGGAATAATCCTGGGCTTGGAAAGGAAGGGCTCACCGCCCCAGCCACTCCAATGTAACCCGGTAGACTAGATGGGAAAGGTCTTGGCAAAGAAGAGGCCAACCTGTGTGGTGGGAGAACACCAGAGGCCTCATGAGTACCCTGACTTCAGAGAAGAATGCAGGTTCATAAAGTCCTCGTGGATGAGGCAGAAAAGGTGCTGAACTGAACGACAAGGCAGTGAAGTGGCCTTCTGTCCCCATAACCAGAGTCACGGATGTATTCATTTGATCGACAAATGTTTACTCACTGTCTATGACGAGCCAAGTACAAACTGCGCGGGATACAGAGTCCAGCAGAGGGCAAGCCCAGCGTGCTCCAGCCTTCCCTGTGCTTATCTCTGCAGTGACCGAGAACACTGCAATGAACATTCCACCCAGGGCAGTGAAGGGGGCTGTGGGGACTTGCAGAAGGCAGTGGAGATCAAGAAAGGCTTCCTGGAGGAAAGGACATGTTTGCTGAGAGCTGAGTACGAGTAGAAGTTGGCCAGATAGGAAAGCAGGGCAGAAGTCTGGGGTGAGAGTGGAGGAGCAGAGCCTTCTGGGAGGCCTTAAACATTTGGTAGAGAGGAACAGAAGATGTGAGGTGAGGATGGGCCAAGCCTGAGTCCACAGACTGTGGCCACTGCCATGGAGAACACAAAGGCCCTAAACAAGGTGCTTATTTGCAGTTGGTTAAGGTGACTTAGGGTGGGAGAATCTAAGGTCAGATGACGAATCCAGCAGGACACTGATGTCAGCCGTGTCCTGAGGCAAAACAGACATGGTTGTAGGGAAGACCTGTCCACCCCAGGCTCTGACGGCACAAGGCATGCTAGGCGGTTCCCAAAGCTTTGCTGCTGCACAGGGGTCCTGTGCTCCAGCCCATAGGCATTTCATCTCTACAGAACCCAGGAAGGAAGCCAGAGGGGGAGGGGATGGTGACATTATACCCCCTTTCTGAGATGGGGCTGTGGAAACAGGCCTGGGTGGTCCACCAACAGTGAACAAAAAAAAAAAAAAAAAAAAAGAAAGAAAAAAAACTACATGGAGACTCAATGACAGAACTCCCTGGAGATAAATGGCAGGTCCTGCCTTAAAGCTTAGAAGATCATTGTCACCAAGAGGATGAGAGAAGTCAGAGACTGGCAATGAATCTTGTGGCAAAGACCTCAGGAGCTGGGTGTGCTGGCGCAATGCCTTTAATCCCAGCACTCTGGAGGCAGAGACAGATGGATCTCCATGAGTTAGAGGCCAGCCTGGTCTACATAGTACATTCTAGGCTAGCCAGGGCTACATCTTTTGATACACTGTATCAAAAGAAAACAAAAACAAGCAAGCAAACAACAAAAAAGCCACACCTCCTATCTCAGAAGACCACAAGCTTGGTACGGCTCAATAAAAAGAAACGGGCGCTTAAACGTCTGATATAACCAGGAGTCGCATTATTAGAGGCCAAGGCTAAGATCCAGGGAGATGGTAACTTTACCAGTTTCAATAAATAAGCAGTATAACGGAAGGCATGGAGCTGGTGGAGCTGGGCATCTTTGGAACAAAGAGATTCCTTTATATTTGTCACGGTAGGATAGGAAGCCCACCTCAACCAGTGTCCGGGTGATCTCACAGCAAGAGCAATGGGCAGCAGCTCCCCTGAGTACCTACATGAGGAATTCTAAGCACTTCCTATGTATTAACAAGCCCAATCCTTACCAAATGCCAGCAGACAGGTATGATCATTGTGAGTAGTATTTTGAAATATGTAACCATTTGCCCAAGATTGTAAAGGTGGGAAATCACAAAGACAGGCTTTAAAGTTAGTCTGTTGGGTTCTAGAACCTGTAAACATATCCACGGCACTCAATAGAAAAAAGCCTTTGCATTTCTCCCCTCCTCTGCTTTATGCCAAGCCTGCTGGTTCTCACAAAATCCCTTGAGAAGAAAGCTACGGGTTCCCATTTCACAGGTGAGGGAATCTAAACTGTGAGAAGTGATTCATCCAAATTTACATAGCCAGAAAGGAAAGGGTTTTTAAGCCCAGCTAGCTGGATGCTAGAGTTCACGTTCCCAAGATAGGAGTCCTATTGCCTTCCCAGAACTGCCAGCAGACGGATTTCTGCTTCCAAGGTGGGCATCTGCAGCCAATGCTGCACTAAAGGATGGGTGGGAGCTAAAAGCTGCAAGCTCCCGAGACTGTAGGGATTCAGCTAGAGACTGGCCCCCAGGGAGATCCTCCACCACGTTGTAACAGTGGTCTCTCAAAGGGTGGCACTCAAGGTGGGCATGATGGAGGTCTAGCATGCCAGCACTCCAGAGGCTGAGGCAAAAGGATAGCAGAGAATCTGAGGCAAGCCGGGACTGCAAAGTGAGGACATTGACTCAAAAGAAGCAAGCAAACAAGAGGCAGGAAGAGGGAGGGGGAGAGAGAGTTAGGAAGAAAGGAAGGAAGGAAGGAAGGAAGGAAGGAAGGAAGGAAGGAAGGAAGGAAGGAAGGAAGGAAGGAAGGAAGGAAGAAGGTAGGAAGGAAGGAAGAAGGAAGGAAGGAAATATATCTCAGGCCAGAAACACTCACTTTATCAGGGAACCCATAACAAAAACCCCAAGGCTTCACCCTAGACCGGCTGAGTGGCAGCCCTCTGGGGCTGGGGTCCTGGCAGTCAGTGTTTGAAGGAGTTTCTCCATGATTCTGATGAACGCTAATATTGGAGAACCAGAAGCCCAGAACAACCCCTGGAGTTCTCTGCAGCCTGAATTCTGCGATTCTTCACTGTAGAGATGCTTGGAGCCCTGGGAAGTCCTTGGCTTCCCGCTCCCGCTTTTCCGCCCAATTGGGCAGCTCTTTGGAATAGCGCATTCAGTTCTGCAAAGCAGAGGCGGTGGGGGGGGGCTTTGCAGAGGTCCCTGGCGTTGCCATATTTAAAGAGCTCGTTCCTGCAGCGTTTCTGAGAACTCTATAAAACCCCTTTCACCAGCAGCCTGTCTGTATTGCCTCTTGAATAGCATGAGACTTAATTGTCTCCTATGGACTGGAACCCTCTTGACAGCAAACAGGAATCTGGTTACTTCGCTCCTTTTCTCCGTCTGCAGTCCTTAACCACCATTCAGCATAGCACCAAAGGACCTGCAGTAGAGGCTTGACACTCCCCCTGTTCTCACCCAGTTCATTATCTCCAATCCTTCCATCACCTCGGGGATGGGGACTCCTCTCCCCAGCTCTTGCAGGAGCCTTCATTACCTGGCATTTCCCCCAAAGAGCCATGTCTGTCCCTCTGACCTAGCCACAGACCATCTCTCATCCCCCCTGACCTGTCCAAGAAACAAGCATTGAACACCCTATTTTAAAAGGGTGGGTTAACCAGAATTCCCCAGATTAATCCCCCAAGAGCATCCCACCACCATTCCCTGGGTCTTTCCGGCTCTGAACACATGCTTTTAAAATGCAGTTCAATTAAATCGCTGCAAATGCAACGCCCCAGGCTGCAGGTGTGTGATAAATAACGGTCCAGGAGTGTCCTAGGAAGGGCACCTCTCTTGCTCTTGTAATTGGACCTGCCCATTCCACTTTAGGGTACACTGGCACGCGTGAAATGAACCAATGCCACACAGGGAGCTTCGTGGAGTGTGAGCACCAGGGTAAACACAAAGCTCCGAGCACAAGCTTCAGAGCTTCGTCTGATGGCAGAGACATGGCCTCCACCCTGGGGAACCCTTCCTTCTTCTCAGTTATTAAACGTTAGGCACTGTACAAAGAGCTCCACAGACTTTATCTCCTTTAATCCATAAGGCAGTCCTGTGAAGGCAGTCCTACAAGGCTCAACCACACGAAGTGTTTGCAGGTCAAAACCAACAGACTAGAATCACCCTGCATGTTAATACTTCTCTCTCAGCCAAAGAAGAACTGGAGGTTCGGAAGGGAAGTGACTCACCCGAGGCCACGAAGCAAGCACACATGAGTAGCCTCACACTGAAATGACTGTCAGCTACATCTCATCAAACCCAGACACATCATTATTTAGAGGTGCCAGGAAAAAAAAAAATTCCCTAAGTTAACACAGACATGGCATATTGAGGCCCATGCTAGCTTCTACGTGAAAACATAAAGGAAAAATAAACCAGCTTAGCATCCACAGAATACATCATTACGAAACATCCATTTTGGTAGCGATGTGGCGAAGGTGGCTGTGGACAACCTTGGGCAGATCCTTGTCTAAAGCAGGTGGCAGGATCACAAGCGTTAGAGAAAGCCCAAATCCATCCCCAAGCCTAACCACAGTCAAGGTCAATAACACTAGCAAACAAGGTATAAAGGTCAAGGGAAGCAGACACAGGAACAACGCGCTGTAAATGAGCTGTGAGGAGAAGAAAATGCCAGCGGAGGGGAGGCAGGTAGAGGAGAGGCAAGCCTGGACTCTGGAGGCAATTCCAAAGAAATAAAGCCAAGTCGGTTGGGGGAAGGGTGCAGGCACGGAGGGCACTGAGGCCTGGCTGCAGTAAGAAAAACAAAAATTGAGCGGCCTGTTGCCCTCCTCTACAGTTCCCTGGCCCCTCCTCCAGTCTCACCTCTCCACACCCCATTGGTTAGAGCTGTGTCCTCCAGCTATGCATCTCTAAATCCAAGAACTGTAAGACCAGAAGCCCACCCAGAAGATGGGCAGAGCCAGGATTTAAGGAAGCACTCACTGTCGCATCATTGAGGCAAGCTCAAGGTCCTCATCTTTGGGGAGCTTCCTTAAATCCTGACACCCTGGAAGTTTCACCTCAGTCCAGGTCCCTGACTACAAGAAAAACAGCCAAGAACTAATGTCGATCTTTGGAACCACTTAAGCTTTTTTGGAAAGACATCCCAACTATCTGACTCTGGGGGACAGGCATTTTATGTTTCCCCACTTTGCAGACAGGGAAACTGGACCGTATGCGAGATGCCGACCCCTCTGTCCGAGCCAGTCCTGAAAGTGTCACTGCTGCAGGGAGTCGGTGACACAGCTCCATTTACTAGCAGGGTGGCAGTTGCTGACAGCAACCGCCATGCCCTCCCTGTACGTTGCCCACCAGTCTCGGTTCCAAACCAAATAGGCTCCATTTAGAAGACAGGCATGTGATTCTTGCTTAAAAATAGAACAACATAAAAACTATCAGTAGCCCGCAAAGGATGATGGAGCGGAGAGGCAATGAGACCAGGGTAGGAAAAGGGAGGCGAGACAGGGAAGGAAGAACAAAGAGAAGCCCACCCACCACACATCTTCTTTTGCTAGCACAAGGGTGATAGAGGATGGAGGTGAGATACACACAGGGCCCTTGGGGCTCAAAGCTTTGACATTCCTTGTCTTTGAGGATGTCCTGGAAAACTCCAAGCAGAGGGATTTCTGTGCGTAGACTGGCCTCACCCACGGAATAATTCAGCCTGGGGCTTGGATGAAAGCACTGGACCGTCAAGAAGTCAAGGCTAGGTGGGGCAGAGGAAAACCTAAGAGTGTGTGTCTCCCTGGATATCCACCCCTTTTCACTGAAGGAAGCATTTGGCTCATCAGCAAGGCCAGCCTGACGCTGCACGAGAACACTGATGGGGCTAAACCGTGGTGGAGAAACCATCCCGGGCCAGTGAGAGCCCTAGAACCACCCAGCAAGACCTTGCTCAGCTTCCAGAACCATGGGCGTGAGACCTGCATTTCACCCCTTTATAAACTGCTGCCATCTCCCAACTACGTAACCAGCTCCAAGCACCAGATCTGGAGGCTGACTGCAGTTCAAGTCCCTTGTCCAGCAAGCGCTAGGCACAGGCTCCTGAGTAAGTGAGTTCACCTAGCTGAGTTTCTTTGTCTGCAAAAATGGGGAGGGCACCAGCAGCATTGTAGAGGCTCCATCAGATAACGGAGAAAATGCTGCAGCAACCTTTATTGAGCACTTACTATCTCTCTGCTACTTGTCATTGTTTGGAGAGCGTTCCAAACAGCCTGGCAGCTATTAAGTGCCCAATAAACTATGGCCATGGTATTGTTGCTGTTTTATTATTTTGATTATGCTCCAGACTCAGTGGGGCCCCAGGCAGGAGGCTTGGTGGCCATCTGAGCACAGACACACTGCCCTCTGGTGCTGCTGCTGAGGAATCAGCACCTGGAAGAAAAGCACTACAGGAAACAAGGCCAAGGCCAAGGCGCCAGCTCCATCTGATCCTCTGGGGGACTCGACCGACCCAGGGCTCCTACCTCACCACTCCAGCCTGTGGAGGATACTCCAGGGTCCTTATTCTTGGATGTTAGTCCTCTCTGTTGCCAGGCAGGGCCTGGAGACCTCCACCCCCTACCTGCTTTTGCATGACCCAGTAAAGTATCAGATCTCGCTTGCCTCTAGAAGAAGGTCCTGAGCAAAGAAGACAGGGCTCAGGCTGCAGCTGTAACAGGGAGAGAGGGGTGGCCGATTATGAGAGGAGAGGGGAGGCCTTGCCTCAGTGCATTAGAAACAGCCCTAGTCATAAAGCACAAATCTCCCTCTCCAAGACTACCCGAAGCCTGCAGCTTCCTTTCCATAGGCCTTGCCTCCCGAAGAAGGGTAGTTCTAATACCTACAGGTTCTAGTTCTAACGCCTACAGGTTCACCTGAGCCTTCTGTCTCTTCAGGGTACTCTACTTCCCAGTGCTAGAACACTGTGCCTATGTGAATATGGGGGCTCACAGGGGTCACAAAGGATGCCAAAGGGAGCCAAACATTCTTGCATTTCTGTAGAGGTGCAGAGCAGAGATCAACCTCTTTAAAACAGTACTACTGGTCAAGACTTCTAAACTCAGCCCATCATGCACAGCCACAGGGGGATGCCCATGACCTCGGAAAAGCTTAACCAGGCCTGGCTCACCCCACATAAACCATCCCTAAAAAACCCTGGTCATCCTGCCGTCAAAAGACTGCTCAGCGCAGTGCGAGCATCGAGGAGAAATTAAACTCCAGCTGGAGAAGGGGGGAAGCCTGAGCTGACAGGAGCAGCTGGGCTGAAAAGTGAGCAGAAATTCCTCAAGTTAATGCTTTCTAAGGCCCCTCGGGCCACTCCCAGGTTTTGTCTGAAGCTATTTACTTCTGGGGGGAAAACCCTATTGATCTTCATTCAGCGGCTGTCTGTTCCTACAAGGCACAATGTCTCCGTACATCGCCAGTCAGGGAGAATCCCTCATTGTTTTACATGCAGTGACTCTCAAACTCAAGAGGCGAGTGTTCAGGACAATTTGGATGATCTGAACAGAGGAGTGGCACAAGGGAGGGGGGTTTCATTCCCCGGAGAAGGGCTTCTGGATCCCTGCACGTTCAGAAACTGCTTAGCTCTGCCCACTCTGTGGATACTCCAAGAATGCAGAGCCGGGTGCGCCCTTCCCTCCTACCCCACCCCCCCTTTACACCTGCTTTATGTCTCTGCAGTCATTTGGCTTTGAACTTCCCCACTGGCTGGCCGGGGTTCACTACCAGTCACCCGGCTCCTCATCACAAGGAAGACTTGCCAGTTTTCTCCAGCGGCTGCCACCACTGCCTAGGTCCTTTCTCAAATTCCAAGCAGCCCTCAATCCTATAGTTTACCCGTAGTCCTAGGGAAGATATAAACCAGGAAATCTACACGGACGATAACCATCTCCTGCCAGCCCGTTCTCCAGGGAACTTGACATCACAGTTTATGTCAATCAAATTGTGTACATCTGGGGAAACTGAGCACCTGAGTGGGAAGACTAGGGTTGTATCACAGTGATCCAGTTCACTAAGAGCAAAAAGAACAGAAAATCCAAGCCACTGGCTTCTACGTCCGTCACCCCTCCTCTTCAGCTTAAGGTTATGAACCTGCAAATTCAAGTCCCCATGGAAGGTCGCTAAAGCTCATCTGGCTGAGAAGACCTTGCATCTAATTGCCTATCCTAAGTTAAGATCAGGATCCATTCAGACAACAATAACAAGGACAACAATAATAATACAATGCAGAACAATCTGCCTCACAAGGCTTCGATGGCAGCCCTTGATAATCACACACAGAATACATCTTCCACATATTCATATAAAATAATCAATGATCATTTTTCCCCCCGCAGACTACAATCCAATTACTCTCTCTCCCTCACTCTCTCCCCCACTCTCCTTTGTTACTTGCAAACCATCCAAGCAATCAATGCCTTGACCTCTCCCTCTGATAGACACAATTACAAAAAGACAGAGCAATGCAATTCATCTATTCAAGACAGATTGTTTGAGCACTCTGTCACACTGCTGAGCTATCCATCTCCCTGTCTAAGAAGGAATTTCAGCCCCCAAAAGAGGCACAAAGAGAAGGGGCGGGTACCATGCTCCCCAGGCCAGAGAGCCCATCTTGCACCTGCAGGTAAACCCTCTCTGGTCCGGTGTGCTCAGCGACGCCTGGCTGCTGGAGAAAGGATTCCGGCTCCAAGCTCCAGCAGTTCTGGCAGAAGCACCCAGCATGCTTCAGAGGCCAATTTCCAGGGCCTCAATCCCTGCAGCTCCAGCCAAGAGGTCTCAGATCTCAGAGATAGGAAAAAGAGAGATGGCATCCAGTCTAGTCAAGGCAATATCTCTGGGTTGTAGCGTGCCCTCCGCTACCCTTCTCCTCCCCCACCCCCACCCCCACCCCCACCCCACAGCCTCCCGTGCCCTGACTCCAGCTGGGGTTCAACCTCAAGCTCCGGAAGGACAGAAGCTCAGCTCCCAGGACAGCTCCAAAGAAGCCCAGAGGCCTCAGAGCCTTTCCATCCTCCACCCAAAGCTGGCCCTGCTCCAGTAGTCACGTTTGGCATCAGTACAGCACCCCAGTCCTCGGGCTGGGAGTCAAATAGGGCAGGGCTCTTGGATATAAATGGCCTGGGCCGACACGCTAATTAATCCTGGGGCTTAATATGAAGAAGATTAGAAGGGGGGGGGGGCTCTGCCATCCTTAATTGCGCTATTATACTGTGGCTCAAGAAAGGGCCGCAGGTTTGGAATATGTTCCCCTTGGGGGCAATGTGGAGACCCCAGTACAGCTCTATGTACTGTCATGGTGACAAGGGCTGGTGAGGACCACATACCCTGCCCATTTGCAGCCCATACCTCTGAGGCTCTGCTTACCTGCGCCTGTCTCTCTAGGCCTCCAAAGATTTCCATTCTCGAAACTGGTCTGGAAACACAACTACCCCGCTCTATAGAGAGAAGAGACCAAGAAAGGCAGACCTACAAAGCCTAAAAGGGGCACACCGCCCCTTTTGATATTCCCTTTCTATCTCAAGGACACTACCATGAAGGTCCCCTAAAATCACAAGAAATGAGAGCAGGAATAAAGAAAACAGTTGCCCACAACTAAGGGACTAGCTGGAATGGTGAGCAGGCCAGTACTGGGGCAGGAACACAGACAGAAAACATTTTTGGCTGGCCTAGAGAAACCTAGACTTCAAAGGGTTAAGCTTGACTGTGAGGGTTGTCCCTAGAGTCTCCTCAGGTGCCTGGCCTTCTCTGCCTCCCGGTGCATGCCTGCCCAGCTTGGTCCTGGGTCCTGAGCATGCACTGGAAGACCTCAACGTCGTCAGAGCTGACTGTTTTCTGTCCCCATTCGGAAGCTGAGTTCAAGAGGACGTGGCTCTAGGGAGAGTGAGCGAGAGGGCTGCAGCTCAGTAAAAACCTCAAGTACAGAAAACCAAGCCTGGCCCGAGTTTTCCTGAATCCTCATCAAACCGTTGGTCACCCCAAAGTCCGCTCTTGCAGGAGCAAAGTCGGCTCCTGGAGGGGAGCCCGGGAGGAGGAGGAGGAGGAGGACGGTGGCCCTGGCTGGGTAGAGCTCGGCTGGCTGCGCACCAGATGTTGGTGCCTCGCGAACCCGGGCTGCCCAGGTCTCTGGCCCGGCGCAGGCGCTGGGCCCGCGGTAACAGAGGCTCCTGGGTAGCCCAGCCTGGCCCAGCCCAGCGGGTCAGCTGGCCAGGGACACGCACCGGTTCCAGCCCAGCCCTGAGAGCAACCGCGCAGGGTGCCTCGGGTGGCCACAACAAAGTTAAAACCCAGAGTAAGAAATCTGCGGCGGTGAGAGAAGCGGAGAAGCCAGAGCCCCAGAAGCCGCGCGTACACCGCCAGCCGCCGCCAGCTGCGGAGGGATTTCGGCTAACTTTAAAAGCCACTCGCATCCCTCGGGCGCCGTCCCTGGCAGCGCTAGGCGGCCTCCTGCGCTCCCATTCCCCAGCCTCGGTTCCCCCTGGTCGAAAGAGGCCTGGGCCTGGGGGGCCCGCTGGAGCGACAAACAGGGGACTGCCCCTCTCCTGCCCCGCTCCTTGGCCAGTCAGGAGCAAGGAGATCAGCTGCCCTCGTCCGGCGATTCCATCCCCTGCACCCCCTACCCGTGCCTGTCCCCGAGCTCCAGCAAGGCGCCCATGGGGGGCGACTAGGGGAGAGAAGTTGGCGCCTTCCCCAGGGCTCCCACTCTGCGCGGAAGCCTGTCCCAGAACTCGGTCTGCGGCCATCCGTGATGACAGTCGCGACGAAATTCCCCCGTTGCGCGGGGTTTGGGGCTGGAACCTTCGCCACACTCCACCGCGTAGCCTTCCCCGGAGCGTGCCCAGGGCCCCTCGCCCACCGCGGCCCGGTGGCCTCCTCCCTGTAAGTAAGGCCGGTGACCCGGGCTTTGGAACTTTGTCCTCCCCGCCAAGAGCTCCCACCAGATACCCAAGCCCTGCAGCCCAGAGGGAGGTTGGGACAATCTCGCGGATCACGTTCAGAGCACCCCCACCCCAATTCCCGTCCCCACCCGAGCGCGCAGAGACACCCCCCCCCCCCCCGGCTCCAGGGGAGCCCTTACCGATCCGGATGACGTGGGGCATCCCGCGCGAGTCTGGGATCCAGAAGGCGCACACGAGGAGCCCGGCCCAGTATTCCCAAACCAGACTCCGGAGGCGCCGCCAGGGAGCGGTCATCGTTGGGCGCCACCGAGCGTGCCCGGGGCGCGGCCGTGGCGGGCTCCCTGGGGCGGCAGCTCTAGGCGCGGGCGCGCAGCAGCCCCCGAGGCGCCGCCTGGCCCAGCCGCCCGGCTCCCGAGCGCCTCTGCGAGTAGGGGGCGCCCCGCGGCGCTGCGCACATCTTACTGGGGGGCCGCCCCGCCGGCGCCCGCCCCGCCTCGGCTGCCGCCCACGGGCCGCCCGCGAGCGAGAGCTCCTGGGCTCCGCCCGGGCTCCGCTCGGACTCGGCTGCGGCGTCTCCGGCTCGTGTCAGCTCGGCTCCCGCGCGGGCTTCCCACCTGCCCCGGCTGCCGGGCGGGCTTGCACGCGTCTCCGGCCGCTCCTCCTCCAGCCGCCGCCGATGCTATCGCCCCGGCTCGCACAAAGCCCCGGAGTGGAGTTGCACGCGCGCACACACTCCCTCCCAGCCCCCTCCCCCGCGCCCTGCCTCCCGCCTCCCGCGCCGCCCGCCGCCCGCCGCCCGCGCTCCCTCCGCGTACTCCCCCGCGCACACACGCTTCCCACTCACACTCGCCCGGGTGCACACTCGCGCGCTCACACCTGCGCAGGGGGCGGGGAAGGGGACCCTGGACTGGGTTTGGGAGGGGGGGCGCCCGGAGGATGGAGACTCTCCTCCGCAGCTCAGACGTCCCCGTCTACCCTGCCGCCCCCAGGGCAAGGATCCGAGCCGGGGAGCCAAGCGTGGAGCGGCAGAGCTGGCACCGCAAGCCGGGAGACGGCGACAGCCCAGCGGCTGGACCAGCTGGAGGAAATGCGCCCGCCGGGAGCGGCGAGACCCGAAGCCTGCCGTCTGCGGAGCCTCGCCTTTCAGCTCCCACGAGGCCAGAGCTGGCCGGACGGCAGCGGCAGGAGACTGACCCGGAGCTGGTTTCCCTCCTGATCTCCAGCCCACGGGATAGCGGGGTTGGCCCTGAGCTTGGAGGTTGCGGGGCAGGGTGGGGGGCGGGGGATAAAATTCAGAGAACTGTCAGTGCTGGGCTAGGGGGTGCGGAGCTTCAGGAACTAACCCGGAGGGAGAGACCAGGCCAGACTCTCTGCGTGGAAGGTAAGACTTGACCACGCACCGTCAGTAGGAGGGCTGCGGAGAAAGACCGCCAAAGCCTTCGCTTCCGAGGGCCGCTAGAGTTGGAGCCGGCTGATTTCTCAGTCCTCTTCCGCAACTATGCGGGAGGAACTGGAGCCCCCTCCCGGATTCCTCCTGAGAAACATACAGAAAAACTGATTTTCCTTGGGACAGAGTAGGACCCGCAAGGGAGCAAGCCTTAAAAGGGTTAAAAATAAATGTTGTTTATTACCAATAATAATTTTTTTTTCAAGTGGCGCTGGGTGTCGAGGGAAGAGAAGGGCTGTGGAGCGAGGCAGGAGCAGGAGGCAGCGAATTACGCAGCTAGGCGAGTTTAATGACCTTTTTGACAGAGACAAAGCAGTACCGATACAGTAGATAAATAAACGGATCTGTCACCGGGCAGCGGCTAGGCTGTGTGCGAATTTATTTTTCTCATTTAAATAATTTGATCTGTTCAATCACTTCCAATCTCTCCCATTTGCCAGCTGTCTGGTAAGAGCATGCCCCCCACATCTGAAGAGCAAATCTTTAATTTTCTTACAAATAGATAATGTGTTGCGCTCCAAACCCGCCTGTTAATTTTCCCGTCTTTTCTTTCCCGCCCTATCTGGGCGCAGGGGACCGAGGCATTGTGTGGGGAGGTGACTGGGGCAGTATAGCCAATTGGCAAATAGGAAGAGGCTCCATCTCATCTGAACTTGCACCAGTGGCCTTGGGAGCAAAGAGTTTCTGGGCTCTGCCCAAGAAAAGAGAGAGGCTGTGTGCCTTGTTCGCGGACATCGTAGGTGATCAGCTATTATACGGAGGCCTCCGAATTTGCCATACTTGGGCCTTCCCTGGATCGAGAATGGCTCGTTTTGAACAAGTGCTGCCCAAAGAAGCAGGGGAAAACACAAATCCGCAGTTGTCACCTCTTCATGGGGAGTGGAGATCTCAGAGGATAGGCCCCAAGGACCCAGCGTGGAGGCGTGCATAGGAGCGGAGCAGAGGAACCCCTGGACACAGTTGGGAGCCTCTTCGTGGAGACACACTGAGGCAGCCCATTGCCTGCGCTCGCTCGGACTCCACAGCTAGGTTTGGTTGGTCCTGGAACCAAAAGGACTTGGCTGTTTTTTTTTTTTTTTTTTCTGGAAGATAATTTTGTGCCCCGATGGACAAAGGGAGAGGGCTGAAAGGAGTGCAGCAACCAGTACCCCAGGCTGACTAATTCTATAGGCTGCCTGTTCTGCAGGCAGAAACCCCCGGACTTGAGCAGGCTGGGACAAGTGGCTTGGCAGGAAAACAGAAGTAGCAGAAAGGTCGAAGTGTGGCCGGAGGGAGGGACACTTCTGAGGCCAGCTGGAGGGAGAGCTAAGGGGTGGGGGAGAGCAGGCTCCCTAAAAGCTAGCTGCAGTAGCACCATTACAGTAAATGGATGAAGAAGGAAATCGGAGCTGTCCCAAAGGGGAGAGTATGGCTCTGTCACCAAAGCCTTGTCATCACCCCAGGAAGCAGGCAGCCCAGCCAGCTGCCTCCCCAAGCAGGTGGCTTTTCCTAGCTAAGGATAGAGGCTCGTCTCCGGCCTCCTGGCGGCAGAGGTTGTGAGGCTCAGGCAGGACTGGACAGGCCCCCCTTGGAATCCTGGGATAGATTTGGGTAGAAGTTGCTCTCCCCAGCCCAGGGCCTGACCCTTGTTCTTGCACCAACTGCTAGTCATTGTATAATAATCCAACAGCTCCAAACTGATAGCGGCGTCGATCCCTTTCTGCCATGGGGGAAGGGTGAGACTCGAGGCACAACGACAAACACCCTTGATGACAGCCATGATTCTTGTGTTTATTACATGTTCTCTGCATTCCAGGCAAAGTACTCACAACCTTACCTATCACTTCATCTAGTCCTCTCCAGGATGCACCCTGATAGTCTCTGCTATTTTTCCATTCATCAGATGAAGAACCTAAGCTCAGAGGGGTTAAGAAGTCCAAAACACACACACACACACACACACACACACACACACACACACACACGCACACACACACACACACACACACACACACACACACACACGCCTAGCTTCCTCCCTTCTCCCTCGCTTCTTTCTTTTCCGCCTTCCTTCCTCCACTAATATTTATTAGGCATCACTGTTTGCCAGCCTGGGTTCGAACACAGACCCAGCTGGCTGCTAACTTGACAGCATCGCCCCTGTGGTGCCCTTCACCACCTGGACTGACTGAGCAGAAATAGCTCCATCCAGAGCCTCTTGACTCCTGCAGAAGCCCCTGGAGCCTCTGGCTGCCCGAGGGCAGGCCAGAAAGCAGAATGGAATGGAGTCCTTAGCTGGAGTAAACTGGAGAGCTCGCTCTTACTCCCCACATCTTAAGAGAGCTCTGCAGTCCTCCCTCACGTGCCTCTTCGGGCCACACCAAAGCCAGCAGATAGCAGGATTGGCAAGATCTCAAGCCCCATCTCTAGAGACTGGGAGCCGCCAATCCTGGCTTTTGGAATTGTTGGTAAACAAGTCTATCCACCAGCCAGGCTTCAGCTCCCCGCTCCCCCATGAGGCAGCCAGCACTGGATTTATGAGGCCTCCAAACCTCATTCAGACTAATGCAGCTTTTCATTCCCAAATAAAAGGGGCTGCTGTCTGAAAGGACAAGTGCTCCCGAATTTCATTAACATCCCCTAAAACGGCTGAGCTGGCCCAAGCCGCTGCCAGCTAGATTCATGCCTCCCACTGCCTCACAGGTGGGGGTGTGGATAAGGCTTGGAAGAAGGGGGTGATCCTTTCAGGGCTCCCAAGCCCTCCAGTCCCTCCCCCTACTCCCTACTTCTGTGGTTAAGTAGGGGAGCCCCCAGGGGTGGCCAAGCTAGCTCCTTTGAATGAGTCCCCTGTGTGCGTGTTTTGTTTAGACTGATCCACTCAGCTCTCAGTCCCTCCACAATCACGGTGAGTGATGAGGCCCTGGGCTCGAGTTACTGAGATTCATGACTCCGGTTCCCCGGGAAGCCACTGAGCAGAGCGCGCAGTTCCGGAGTGCAGATTCCTAGGACTTGAGTGCCCTCTGCTGAAGCCTGCTTATTGTCAGCTCCTTCGCCGGCAGGTGCTAATGGGCTGGACACTGCAGCGCAACCCTGCCCTGGGGGTGGGGGCTCCAGACCCTTCCCTCCATGTCTCAGAATAGGGTCTCCTGGGGTTGTGCTCTGCAATCCACTCTTCCGGTGCTTTAGTGAGAATGGGGGAGGAATACCTCTCCCCTCTGGCCCCAGGGGTTCAGGCTTGGAAAAAGGTGGCTGCCAACACCCCTACCCCCCGCGCCTCCATCCCCACAAGTGATCTCTGCTGACTACTCAAGCAGGAGGCAGGGAGATGGAGGCCTCCAAGCCCAGTCCTCACTCTACCAGTACCCTTTCAGTGAGCCAAATGCATGCCCACCACAAAAGCCAAGACTCCTCTGCCCTGTGCAAGACACTGTGACCTATAGGCTCAGAGACAGGCACGTCAGCCTGGGTCTTTATGCCTTCCCCCTGTTCCAAGAAGGGAGAAAGCAGCGTTGGTCAACAGCCATCTGAGCAAGTGGTGAGCCAGGCAAAGGGGCATCACCTTAGATGTTTGTCAACCGTCAAGCAAGTTCATTCCCACTGAAGTCAATTCCTGTGTTTATTGTCAGCTTAACCCGCTGCTGAGAGTTGTTTCTCGGCGGCGAGGGAGACAGGTAGACAAGCCACCGGAGATACATTATTTTACTGATGTCTGCTTTTCAATGGTTAGGGCACAGTTCCGGCGGAGAAGTAAATGATACACATATATCCATACACGGAGATCCTTATTATATGTGTACATAACAGAACAGCTGCTGATGGGTAAGAGGCCCCACCGTGGGGGGGAGGGGGCGCCACTGCTGTGAGATGAGGCAAAGGCACTGAGTGCCCACAGGAACCAGCACCTCCTGGCCTCCTGACTCCAGCAATGGGGACCATAGCCACTAGTTGGCTTACTCCAACAATCATTCACAGTCCC